AATATTCGCGTTTCTTTCAGGTTTTTCAACATTCCTTCCATTAAAATAGCGAAGTTTTCCGCACGCATGCTCCATTTGTGGAGGCACCCAACTCCGGTAGCAGTAACGAAGTCTTCCAAGAAAGTGCAGGCCGAATAATGGAGGCAGGAGATTTTCGCACGAGTTTGGTCGACTGGTACCCTCAGCGGATCAAATTCAGCACGGAGTCCACGGAGAAGAATTTCTGTCTCTCCAGGTACGTCCGGTCCATACCATCAACTCGCGCCTTGGCGACTGCAGTGAATATGATGTCCTAGACCGTAGCGACGTTGTCGGAGCTGCTCAATGTGAATGCCGATCCCCAGGTAGCTGTCCATGGATGATTCGATACGAGAAGTTTCAGTTGTTTGGAGGTGACGTGAATTCCAGAGGCCTTTTCCAGTCAGGCTGCGATTGGAGATGACCATATTTTGGTGTACATGAAGGTGATGGGCGAGAGCCAGCTCCTGCTTATCGAGGAACATCTTGGGTATCTTCCGCCCTGGTACTCCTGTCTGGGCTGCGAAAACTTTGCTGATATGTGACTCGGCCGAAGTGACTTTTCCCCTCCCCCCTGTGTATAAGGTTGACGGGAGGGCTCTGTCATACTTTTTTGAACCCAAGTATTTTGCCTATTACCTGAAGAGGGTTAACCGGTAATGTGAGCAGTTATACATCAAGGATGGTCTTTCTATTAGTATCACTGGCTTGACTCCTGCTTCTCCTTATTCTGCAATATGGACAAGAATGTTATCCGCTACCTTCGGCACCGACCCCTTCAAGCGCTTCCTCAAACTCTTTCTTCTACCACCCTGGCGCCAGCATGACAGCTGTCGATGCCGAAATAATGGAGCTGCATAAGGACGATGTCTACAATTATCAGACAATCTTCCACGACGCTAATGCTTCAGAGCGGGAGCCTACAGTTTGAATGACGAAGTGAGGTTTGGGTGTACCTGTGAACTCAGCTTGAGGGAGCTGTGGGTCGGGAAACTGCTGGATGAAGAAGCTGCTTCCTCGGTCAATGCGTACGCAAAGCAGCTACGAGATCTGAAGCGAATCGTCGATCAGAGGGAAAAATTCGTCCGCACAGTCCGTCTTCAACGTGATAGGTGCAGCCCTAGGCCGCCCAAAAAAGTTCGAGCAAAATCCTACGCGTTAGGGCTGAATGGCTTTACCTTTGCACCGGTGTAGCTCCGACATTGATCCTTCTAACTGCTAGTTGCCTTCCGTACCTAACCGTTATATGGACGAAAAAAACCTCCAGACTCGAGCCCAAGTCAAAGTTGAGATGATGTCCAACTTTGCGTCGCGCCGGCCTGCATTGTGAAACGATGACATTCAAGAGGTGCTCAAAACTGGCAACGATCCCGCAACAACAGCTGTATGATTTTGATCTTATACGCCTCTCTATAAAAAGAAAGCCCAATTTATTTGAAACTATGACTTTTCCACCAACCTAATACTATAGGAGATTTGTTGATAACGTCAACAGTAAGCACAAACATTATCGAAAAACGACTAAATAGTAGCCAACAGCGTTGTTAAGACTAGCCAACAGCGTAATTCGAACCACGCGGGTGTGTGCTATCAGCAAGTCACCGTCACTATGATAGAGCATGAAGCACAGATCAAGCCGTTTTCAGGATGCGCTGCTCATTTGATTTCCAAGCCAAGGGCACGAAGAGTCGCGACAGGTGAATAGGCGAGGAGCGCGATTGCAGATATTAGGCTGGGCGCTACGGGAAGGCGGGTCTTTCGGCCTGGCGGATATCAAACCGCAATCGGGAGTAAGTCTTCCCCTATCAATCAAGTGCAGTACTGAGGCCTGGAAGCGCATCCGGAAGCCGGTTGGCGATTGAGCAGAAAATCGGCTGGTCGCAACGGGAAGATCGAGTTCCGGCCACATAATTGTGGGAAAGAAAGCGAGTCCTTGACATCATGCAACGGTCATATCCGACCACTAGGCCATTTAAGAGTGTATTCCGGAATGCCGTACTGCGTCCAGCTTCACACAGATAGCTACAGCCTTCAACGTAGAAGCATTAGACAGCGGCTTTTGGAGAATCAGCTCATGGCCCTCGAGTCAGTGAAGCAGTTTTTATCCTCCTATACACGTCTGTACTAATTGGTCAACGTCGCGGGGATAAAAGGCTTATGATTAGTTGGCAGCCGACCGAGTTTCAACCTCCGGACCTCGCGTGTGGTAAGCATAGCGATTTGGCGCTACCCCAAGTTGGCTCGAGCAACATCGTACAAACATGTACCCCGTACCCAAAGGATAGGAAAGGCGTGGTCGCGTACTTTGTTTGAACATGGTGGTGGCGGCGTCTTTGGTGCGATACTGCCGTTCTGGAAGAATTGTGATCATGTATTTGACAGGCACTGGACAAAATGAAGGTTGCCTCGAATTAAAATATCTCTCGAAGGACGCTTTAAAGGTCATGTTTGACTGAGGTACGCAGCTAAACCCGCCCTATCTCCGGGGTATGGAGTGTGAGGTCAAGTACGTCCCGTAATCAGAAATGGTGAGTAAGGGCTCTGCTGATGACAAAGTGGTGGATGACCCAGGGCAAGAGACGAAGAATAAATCATCAGTATATTCCATAGGACCGACGGAAGCTTTCAGGAGCATGATGGTGCCCTGGGACGAGCTCTCACTCGTTAGAAGTATAACCAAACCACCTCATATCCCTTATCATCACATTCTCACTTTCTTAGGCTGTGACCAACGTCATCGACATTTCGGCAACTGCGCTCAAGAGATTCTACGTCGCTTACGTCGATTATGGCAATGCGACGGATTGATGCGCACCTAGTCACCGACAGCGTCGATACATAGATTAGGCAGCGTTCAGACTTCGCGATGACGCGCTTGGACGCGCTACTATCGCAAGGGCGCTTCATAGACGCAAACGCAGCTGCGGATGAGGATCGATCGGCGCCGACCGCTTGTATGTACAGAGAGAGAGAGAGAGAAGAGAGAGAGCGAGCGAGAGAGAGAAAAGAGAAAAAAGGGGAACAGAGCGGTACACCTGTCTAACCACACAGTCTGATATAGGTCAGCACTGGCCGCTAGGGATTTGAGAGAACGCAGGAATGGGAAAGTACCAAATTGTGAGAGGATAGCGCCAATGTTCCTTTTACGTTAGCCTTTACTCAGAACACAAGCGGCCGATGCCGATCGATTCCCGTCTGCAGCCGCGTTCGCGTCTGTAGTATTGAAGCGCTGTTACAATTGTAGCGCGTCATCGCGAAGTCTAAACGATGCAGTCGTAAAGTGTTGTGTGATATGGGCAAGTGGAAGGGAATCATCTCTGTTGCGATCAAGTGGTGTCATTGTCGTACTGTGATTGCTGGCATCACTCCGAATATAGCCAACAGGGCACATCATCATTGGGATTCCCCAACAGGGGAGGGGTCTTATTTGCTTTCTGGCCTTCTGAGAGAGGTTGTTGACTCTTAGTGGTTTTTCCTGTTATGTACTATGTACCCTCCCTCCCAAAAAATTTTCTGGAAATTCCGGTAAAAGTGGTAGGAGGTTGAGAAAATTGAGGAAAGTGGTGTGTAGGAGTGGGGAAGGAGGATCGCACTTTCCCTCGCGATGTTTCCGGTTTCACACCGGCTACTTAACCCCTCCCTCCCACCGCTCGACAGCTCGGTCGTATCCATCGTATCAGAAGGGGGGGGGAGGGAGGGAAAGAGGAGGGTCGTATCAAGCCACTTTTTGAAGAGGGGTTGTAGGGACCGACCAAAATCTCGAGACCTCGCCAATCAAAAATGTGTGACCAGCCAATTAAAAAGTGCTTGCGAGACAGGACACATAACAAAGATGAGTGAAATGGGGTGTTATTGGGTCAGTGCACTGCCCCTGCACTAAATACCACCTCTTACCCGGCCTGATGATCAAATCTCCCCCCCCCCTGCTCAAATAACGCTGCACGCCCATAGTAAGTGAACCGGTGGCGTGCTTGTGATTTCCGCACTGTAAGGCCGCGTTCATACATAGCGACTCCGCGGAAGCCGCGGAATTTTAAAAAAGCAAAGTACACGTATCGATTTGGAAATTCCGCGGCTTAGAGGCCGCGGAGTCGCTGTGTATGAACGCGGCCTAAGCGCTTGGGGTCTTTCAGTCAGGGCACATCATCGTTGAGGATCCCCAACAGGGAGGGGGGTTGTATATGGTCCGATAGAAAGTTTTTTGGTAGTTGATTTCTCTTGTTCCAGGGACGCTATAAAGGGGTGGGGGTCGTACTTGCTCGCTGTTGGAAGAGGGGGGGGTGTCCGCCTTCTGGTCTTCTGGGAGAGGTGTTTCACATAGGCAATATACCTCCCCCACTGAAACTTGATCGTATCAGAGAAGGAACCAGGGAGGAGGTCGTATCAAGCCACCCCTTAAGAAGGGGGGGGTCTTACGAATCCGAGCAAAGTCCCCAATAAATGATGTGCCCTACCCTCATTTCGTGCCACCACACAATAGGTGTGTCCTGAAAGAATTCACCTGAAACGCCTTTTACCGAAAATTGACCCATTTTCTCCTGGGAATAATAACATTTGTCAGAAAATCCACGCGAGAACAACGCTCTGTCACAGCGATCGTTCAGCAGATCTGTTTCAGTTCTCTTCGTTCAAGTTATTGTATGCTCGGAAACCTCCCTAAACGATTGATTTGAAGATTTTCAACGGGCACGTGATGAAGATGGGCTGCGAAAACCTGCATGGATGTTTAGACAAGCATTTTGGAACTTCGCCAACATCGCTACCCCTCCGTACCAGCCTTGCACGGTGGGAGACGGTGCTGACGCGGAAAAAATTTGGCGAGTGCAGTCCGCAATGCACAACATCGATTGCCGCGAATTATAAAACAAGCTCGTCGAGTTACTTCTAAGTTTTTTTTTCTTTTGACTTCCGCATCAGATTCTGTCACAAAAGTATTTACTGACAATATTTCAGATTGCTAAAGACCAGTTCCATCCTAAGGGATGAGTGGTCGATCGCCCGTCAAGAGTCCGGCTAGAAAGAAAATGGCAACAATGCCAAGTACAGTGGTGGGTGATTACTAGTGCTGATTCTTGTAAATCTTCGTTACCTATTAGGCATTTTATAATTTATTTTCCCCAAGCACAATTATTGAAGTTTTGAAAATTTCCCGCGCGCGGCCCATCGCCTGTTTCTGAAGTCTAATTTAGTAGTTCCATAATATACGCGTTGTCTTGAAGGCTGTGCTTGAGCGATCCTACACTATTTCGTTTGAGGACGTGCTTTTTAGGTTCGTGACAAAACCTCATCCCCATATAAATTGCGAGATACATCGAAGCTTCCATCGAGATACAGAGACGAGGAAATCGACGTTAAACCGTTGAGAGCACGAACTCCAGCAAAATCACGAACACCCACAAAAGGCTCAACGTGAGTAGACTTTTCATTGTTTTTGATGTGAGAACTGGCTACTGGAAGATCATTTTTTATGAGAACTGGACTGTTGAAATTCTCAAATGTAGGTTGATTATTGTAAGAAATCACTGCGAATAGAATGGGAGGTTGGAAGGAATTTTACCAGAGAACGCAGAAATCTTCTGTTATCGTATAGCGGAATAGACCCTTGGAGAATAATGTTTTTTTTGTCGTCGCTTCAAGGAAAAGAACTGATCATACCGCTAACACGATACCTTTTTGGTGATGTAAGCATTCACTGTGATCGAGATCTAGGCGCATCCCTGGTATGAAAGAGCAGGGCATGCATGAAAAAAACACCATAAATTTTATTTGCGTCTTTGAGCGAACCTTTGCTTCTTGGGCAAGTTCACAAGTTAGATAGCCTAATTCTGTGAGTCGGATTCTCACTTTGCGCGTGTTCATTTTATTTTTATCAGCAAAACAATAATTTTTGTCGTAAAGTCCAAAAGGATCCATCCCCTTGAAGACTAAACCTTCTCTTTTCCAGACACCAGCCCTCAACAAATTCCTCAGCTCGACGTGTCCTCAACACTGGTGCCACAACTCCCTCCCATCATTCTGTCAGTTCACCGGGTCCCCTTCAAGAGAATGCATCGCGTTCGAATTCTATCTCTTCACGAAAAAGTGGAGAGCTGGTCATGCTTCAAAAAATCGATCCGCATGGAGCGCAAGGCAAATCCGCAATTCGAGCCGCAAGGCAAATCCGCAATTCTACCGATATCGCTAGTGGTATGTTGACCATTCTTCCTAATAAATTTCAATAAGTAACAATTTCATGTACTTTCAGAACTCTGCTGAAGGCAATGCTTCGTCCTTCCCTTCGATTCGTGGAGATGTTAGTGAGGTTAGATTACAAGCATTAGCACAACAGTTTTGCATTGATTTCTCTCCAGGTACATTCGGGATCATATGCAGCACCAACAGTAGTCACGCGCCACTCCGCTTATCAACAACATCCAAGAGTTGTGAGTTTTTAAAATACCTTCCCTTTGAAGGGATATACAAAATGAAATAAATATCTGCTGACAAAATGCGTTTGTTGTAGAGAGCGACCATTAACATAGTAAGGGATCTGGAGGCGTAGAAGTTCATTGCAGTTCAACCCCAAGGACTCGAAAGATCCAAAAGGCACTCAATTTTTCCTGGACTGTCGTTGCTCAGTACCTTTCTCAGCGATTTTTTCTGCCTCATCTACTACGGGGTCGAAAGATCGCTTTACGGGAGCCCACTTCAAAAACTTATGTGATTCCTGTAAGGTTTCCATAAGAGTACCCAATCCGTAGAAGCTGAGGCACTCCCAAGTCACTCAAAAAATATTAAGTGCCGAAATGTTTGCAAGTATATTGGATACTTTTGGAGTTTCTGGAGTTCTTTGGAGAATTTACAACAGTTCTGCATTAAGTTCAAGTGCCTCTTCATGCTTTTCAACGTTTAATATGGAAAAACCTGGAACAAACCAAAGTTGTGCGTATTCTAACAGTTCTGCCGACATTTTGAAATTGCCCATGATAGAGTGCACTTGTACATTTATTTATTTACTTATGCGTATACAACGCGCTCAAATAAAATAAAATGGCATTGTAGAGTAACAAATTCCTGAAGCAAACAAATAAACAAAAAAAAAAAATCCAACTGCAGTTCAATTTTGGGCAGTTACATATTTAGGGGTCAGATATAATCAGCCAAAGCACTTAGCTGACCAGGAGGATGGAGTTCCAGATAAGTGGACCGAAGGGGAAGAGTCAGAAGGCCATAGAACACGAACGAAGAAAGAAAGTGCCGAATACTAGTGATCATGAAGGCTTTGCTCACAAGATACTAGTAACCGGTGTTGAAGCTACTGTCCGCACCAGCTGGCCACAGTGCCCTTAGCGCCACATGAGGCCGGGGTGGGGTCAGTGGGCGTCATGCCGCACTTCGAGAATTAACAGGCATTAACCGGCAAGCTTCACGTGGACGAACACTGTCAGAAGCGACAAACACAGAGCTATACAGACCCGAGCATAGACCAAGCCGACGTTTCATAGAAAGTGGTCGTGGGCTCCATCTGAGGAAGAGGTTATTACTGAACAGAGATAATTGGATAAACTCCTAGGCTCCCTCCTCCCACTTCCACAATGGGAGAGGCTTTTAAATGCGATATTGCACACACAGTATTTTTTTGGGCCAGACAATGTACAAGTCAGTCCAGTTATCTTCCCAGACGTGTCTGACACCAAACAGTTACCTAGTGGGGAATGGATTTGATGAGTTTGACTGGATGCGGGATTTGGCCCATAGGTCGCACAGTGAACGCTACTCTTAACAGCTGCTGCTATTATTGTCGATTTAGAGGAGAATGAATAATTAGTAACAGTTGAAAATGTAATTCTTTGTCTCGTTACAAGCTTTTCTCTGCTCCTTCATATACTAAAAAGGTTGCAGGAAGATAACGGGACTGACTTGTACATTGTCTCAGGGGCAGCACAATACTAAAATTGTACGCTTGTAATTTCTTCACTCAGCTTTCTTTACGTGGTAGTGTATTTCTCCTCGGAGACCTGACACCTGTGACTGTCTTGTCTATTCAATTTTTCTTTTTGCAAACATATCATCCATTTTTCCGAACAAAACCTTCCTTGCGATTTTCCCAAATTTTCCGGTTTAAGGTGACGCGTGTGGTTGAGGAGTCATACACGAACACTCCTGAATCGTCGCGGTCTTCGTTTGACGACGACGCGTCGGAAGCGACCAGGAATGCTCTTCTGAAAAGAATCGCACGGTAGATCGTGTTTTTTTTCTTTTATGGTCAAGCAAGCATGGCTTGGAAGCAGTTATAAGATGCTGCGAGATACTTTCATTTTGATCAAAAAACGTGGATTCACAGGGATCTCTTAGGCTGCGTTCATACTTGCGGAAGCGTCCACCAGTGACCGTCAGCGTTTTGAACATTGGTCAGCGTCAGCGACTAGGAATGTGTGTATATCAATTCAGCGAACGACAGCGTCTAAAAGCGTCCATGAGCGACTGGGATGTTGTGCAGTAGTGCGGTTCGGTCACACACGCACAATTTTACGACGACTAATCCAGCTGTCTTATCCCTCCTACTTCCCCATAACCTACAAGCAGTCTACTACCGTCCTATTCCCCGTATTCTCTACACCTGGTCGCTGGTGGATGCTGGCGGTCGCTATTGAACGCTGCCGCAAAGTATGAACGCAGCCTGAACAAAGGAGCATGTCGGTGGTCGAGGGTTCGATAACTCTTCCATAAATTCCCATGCTTCCAGTCTACTGAAGCGCGATGTAGCAAGGTCGTGCAGCCTAGCAATACCTGACTCGGTTTTGTGATTTTAGAATCTCAATTTCAGAACTAGGGTCGTATTGTCTGGCATGAAAATCGCTTAAGGGAAAAGTTGACAGGTTTTTTTTTCTCAAGCCGCCTGTTGGATGGCTAGGCATGGATGTGAATATTATGGGTTTTTGCCTGCGGGACATTGCATCGACACGTGGACGATATCATGCTATTTGGTTGCTCGGGGGGGCATCGGTGAGCAGCTCGTGGCAGTGCATGAAGAGTTTCGGTTTCAGTGAAGGAACGTATGAGGATGGATATGAAAAACACTATGACCGAATTTTCCACATTGCGCTCTTGGAGGCTAGACAACACCCAAAGCGTCGGAGAAATCATCGGCTTGAAGTTCATTCAAGAATTTTCGAGGAAATCAGGACAAGAAAGCGGAGAAACAGAAGGCTATCAGGTCTCATGCCATTTTATTGCTTGCGCTACACTCTCAGCTTTGGCGTGGGCCCGAGAGAACAAGCTCCACTCGTGCGAAAAGGATTTGCAGTATGCACAGGTTCTCGTCAAACTTTGTGTCATTGAGAAAATTCCAGCGAGATCTGACGACTGTGGATTCAAACTTGCCGCAAAAAGACAAATGGAGTAGCAATTACCAGGTAAGCTAGCGTCACATGTGATAAAACTGATGGCCGCCCTGGATCGGAGGTAGTGCAGCTGAATATCCGACAGAAAAGATGAGACAGGCGCATTACCATCCCGCTTGTGTTTTAGAAATCTTGCAAGCAAGTAAGTGGCTAATCGACGTGAATGTTTGGGTGAGAAAAATGCAGTTTAGTCAGCGCTAGCGCCACGAAAGCGGTCGGGTGGAGAGATGCTTCTGTCTGAGGAGTAAAAGGGTCCAAACTAGGGCTACGAATATTGCAGGTTAAAAGTTCGTTCTTTTGAGGGTACGAGTACTGCTACTCACTTGGTATTTTTAAGAACTGAATCAATTTCTTGAACATGTGAGACATAAATCGTTTTTTCTCTTGATTCTTATTACTTTCAGTCATAAGTCTCAGAACGAGCTTGGAACAGAGCTTCAACAAAGCCTGCGCCGAATAAGAAATCTGCTGAAGCTTCCCAAAGTGAGTTGTCAAATTAGCTCGTTGTCAAACGGTCCTGAATTACTTTCTTCACGAGGACTTGCAGAACAAGATGAATCGCAAGCTGGGCATTTGAAATTGTCCTTATAAAAATTGGTTTATCCATAGCAGAAAATTTCCTAACTTCTGTGCACTTTCTCTATAGGTCGAATTAGATAGTGCTGCATACAATCTAATATATGACAGTACAGGAATGGGGGTGGAAACGAAAAAAGACTTCGCCGTGGGGAGTACACCTAAGACTTTTGACTTGACTTGGGTATTGACTATGAGCTTGCCTTGGGTATTGACTTGGGGTGCTTTGAAGCTACAATTTACCTTCACAACAATAGGAAACAGTGGCCGCATCGTATTCCATCGGTGGATGACTGTGCTTCGGAAAGAAAAGTAATCTTGTCGACAGGTGTCATCAGTGGAGTTTCGCCTAAAGAACTGCGGGTAAAAGTTAACAAGATTATTAATGGGTTTTTTCAGGCTCGCCGGTGGGTAATATGCGAGTTCTTTTACTCTCGGTGTTGATGAACAGCTTTTTCTGGGCGACAACGAATTTGGACAGTTGATTCGGGAAGCTTTTCCTAATCTGAAGACAATGCTTATGAATAAGCAGGAGTGGCGTGTAGTACGGCGTCTTTTAGGTAACCCTACATTATACGTAATGTGATCTGCTAGCTGTTTTTGTTAAACTTGGAAAACTTATGCGGACGATGGCTGAAAGTTTACTTTTGGAACGCTCGCTCCCGTTGTTCGTCAATTTTCTTCGAGGAGGAGCGACAAATCTTGGATCAAAGAAAGACGAAAAGTGAGGGCTATATACGATGGTTCGTTCACGTCCACGGCAAATTGCGATTTGAGTGACATGCCGCCGAATCTTCCTGCACCGTTAGTCGTTGGAATGAAGGTATTTTTTTCATCATCGCCATTATGTCTTGTATCTTCGCAGAGATTGTACGACAGTTGCTAGGTCGTCACAGTAGAGTATTTTTTTCATCGCCATTATGTCTTTCTTCGCGAGATTGTACCACAGCGCTAGGTCGTCACGGTAGCAGTCGCAAAGCTTGATAACTACGGAAATCATATGGAAGTATAATCTTGTTCGCTTCGGGTGCTGGGGCGTGTCAATGAGGCCGGGTGGCGCGCCAGTCCATTCTCCATCAATTTTTGAAGCGGGCGGGCACCAACAGTTTATGGGAAATGGGCTGACGCGTCGCCGAAACCAGCCTCGCTGATAAGCCTCAGATCAAGTCTCTATATGCTTGCTGCTCTCTATATTGCGGCTTAGCTCGAATTTTTCTTATATCAAACGTACCGTTGTTGAAAGACGAGTAGGGACTGGAACGAGCTGCAGCGTTATCAGAAATTACACCTATGCAACACTCACTTTTTTGGGAGTTTTTTTTTGCATTCCAAAACGTCTTCAGATTGCCCCTCCCTATTGGCTAGTGACCCTAGCTCCAGTTGTTGTTCGACTCGACTTTTTGTCTCTTTATCCGTCCTCCAGCCATCTGATGCCGTAGTATAGCGTGAAAGAAGTGAGAGCATAACTAGCAGTTATCTCCGCTACTCATCTGACATAAATAGAGAAACGGACCTTGCTCTGGAACCATTCGGAAGTCGCCACCATGTTCTTCCAGTCCGTTCCAGCAAACATTCTGAGATCGTCTTCCCATCGTGTTCGTGGCCTACGAACTGCTCTGTTTCCGGAATGCTTGAAGGAAGTACTTCCGGAAATTTCTTGATATGTTTCGATCCTCATTCCCTTCTTTGGACCTGAACCCTTCAGCTTTTTCTTAGCGTGTGGCTTGCCGCACGAGATTTCTCTGTCGTTGGGAAGTGGTCTGTATTCCTTTCATGTATTAATTTCGAAATCTGAAACAAGCTTTCTCTCCTTCTCATCCGTTCATGTTGTAGGAATAGTGAAGTTTGTTCTTTGAGTTTGAATTATAATCAGGGATAGGACATGGCTTGTAAATGGAGAAAATTTTTAAAAAATCAGTATTGCCTTGTGGAATGTGATTATCTCCATTTAGGTCTATGCCAGGCTGCGAGCGCCGAAGGATGGAATTTACGGTGGTACCATTGATGCGTTGGTCACTGGTGGAGGAGGATACAGAATTGTTTTCGACAAGGTCTGTAGCAATCCTACAATTTTCTCCCTTTATTTGTTGGTTTGTGAATTTCCTTGAAAGTGTTACACATATAATTCGGCGCGGAGATGCCATGATGGCAAGTGGCTCCGATCATCGTCCAAATCGGGTGGTCAAGTTCTGGCTCAGCTATCGAGATTCCTAGAGCTGGCGCCATGTAATAACCGTCTCCTCCGTCCCTGGTAACGCGCAAGTTGCCCAATGGACTCTCTCTGCTCGAGGGACACGATGAACTTCATACCATTCGTTCAGAGCTTTCACGAAGAAGTCTGACCATCGCATAGGCGGTCGTCCAGGTGTTCGCTTGACATCCCGTGAAATCCAGTTGGTAATCGCTCTGGTCAGACGACGTCTTCGAACGCATGTACTATGTCCCGACCTGACTTCGAGACCGTCGACGAATGCCAGCTGGTCCTCTATCTCTTGATCGACGGCGGAGCTGGGAGCTCCAGATCTCTTTCTACATTTTGCGTAGGCAGAAAACTGAGCATCCGCCCTTCTCCATGGCTGCAGTTTGGCACGCTAACTGCATGCTCATCGTGTGCTTTCGTAGAGTCCAGGTGTCTGAGCGTAAATCAAAGCAGGAAGGAGCGCGGAATCGAAGTGGTGGGCCACGGAGCCTGGTGTTCTTCGTCTTCTTCGCTACTCCCATGATTTCTTTCTTACTACTCCGGGACCGAGTAACTGGTACTAAACTTGTCTGGAAGGATGCATAATCGTCCCAGAATGACGGATCCCACCGAGTGGGCAAGCTGAAGAAGGAGAGCTGTCTGGATGGATGAAAATAATGGCTAGTTCACCGCGGACCCTTGCAAAACATAAGCAATATCTCTTTCAAAAGGACCACTACGATTCAAACAGCCGCGAAATCCTATTTTTTGGCAGATGTCTTCTCACGTCGTTGGGAGATATACATTTACTGCACTGAGAGCAGGGAAGCATTAGGAATCCTTCATAGAAAACGGTCCCCTCAATAGCGTTTCGTACAAAGGGTTTAGTCTCAGAATTTTGATGTTTTTACAAGCAGCCATTGCTAAAATTACTCGAAAGGGAAACATATGTAAGTTCAATAAAAGGATGGGATGTCTGTTGCAGGAAGATATGATTCCGCCGGCATTTGTACCTGATTATGAGGTTATGTATGATGGATCATTGGAATTACTTTCACTTTCTTACTTTTTGCAACAAAATAGTGCTCGGTTACCTACAATGAACTCAACCCGTACTGGTGAGTGATTGCTTTGACAAACAGTTTTTCCAAGCATTTTAGTTGGATTTTCAGTTCCCATACCTCATACTACGAAGCTGAAGAAATCTTCTGACGTCAGCCGTGAGTTTACTTTCGCTATTACCTTGGATGGAAAATATGGATATGGAGTAGTGTAGAAAGTGGAATGATCCATGAAGCGTATCTGATTTACTTGTTCTCATTATAGACGAAAAGGTCGGAAACTTCCCAGTTCGCATGCTTGTTATTCTGGTGAAGGTTGCCAAGCTGCTAGAAATCAAAAGGAAGCTCGTGAAGACGCTGACCGAATTGAATAACGAAGCAGAGAAAGAAAGTATACTTACTGACGTCTACACGCCTGTGTTCCAGGTAGGTTTCATTCCTCGGTTTGCCTTTCACCTGCCTCACGCAAGTGCGGAAGTTATCACTTAGTAGATCGGCAAGCTACTTTCGGTTACTTCTCTGTCTAAGGGTAATGCGATTGATCCTGCTCTCCCTGAACCTGAAGATGATCCCAATAGTACAACATCCTTGGGCAAGACCATTCAGGTGAAGTTGATGAAAACTCGGAGCCAAAACTGGCTGTTCTTACAACCCATCATTATTAATGGAATCGGAATACACTTGGCCTAGAAAGACTGATTAGCTCTTTAAGTTCACTTCAGACAGACCTCGAAAACAGCGGCCGGATGGGGGAGGGGCGGTGTCAGGGATTTATTTCAACGAGCATCTCTTCTCACCGCCTTCTTCATCGACAAGCAAGGCTGGAGGAGGAGGGGCGCGCCAATGACGTAGTTTTGTGGGCCCACCCAAATGGCAATCCAAAACAGCCCCTCCAGCCGTCTTCACGACACACGACAGCCCAAGGAGCTTCCAGCGCATGTCATCGTTGTGGAAATGAAATCACAACGGGGGGGGGTGGCTGGAGGTGTCATATTTGACCGCAAAGGAGGGGGAGGGGGATAATGAGCGCAGGGCTCATACAGAAGTGGATGATAAAAGATTCTTTTATGGTTCTTACTGTGAAGAACACCGAAGAGACACGTGAAGACAGAGGCAAGCTGCAAACTCAGAAGTGAGGAACGAGAGGTGATAAGAAGTTCGGTAGCTGCCCACATGGTTTGAGAACACTCAATGAATACTGGTTTCAGTACCGCACAACCCTTCTTTTCCGCTTTAAAAATCTCTCTCGAAAAAATTCATGGATACTCAAAAAAGATACTCTTAGTCTAGCCCATATTGGAAGATATCACGAAATAGTGCGCTCTGGTGCAACGACAGGCTGGGGGGGAGTAACGACGTTTTCGAAGCATTCCGCAGGCGCACTTTCTTGAGCGCGCGCGACGTATCTGAACTCACTTCCAATCCGGGTGCATACTCATTCGGGGCGGGGAGGAGGAGCGGGTCGTTCCGAGACCACATTTCGAAGGGGACGTGTTTGACAAAAATCTTAGACAGCGTGATGGTGTGCCCTGGCTCCGAAGTAGCCAAAATGCAAAGATGATCGGCTTTTCGGTGTTGGGGCTGAGCAGTCGCTTTATCCAAATGACAATGAAACGGATGAATGTCTACAATATATCTACTCTCAAAACTATTTTGACTGCACCATCCACCATGGATAATTTACGCAGTACTGGAGCAGGTGGAAAAGTCTGTTTGCAGCTGAATGCGTTGTTCATGGAGGTCTGCACTCCCTTGTTCAGTGCACTCCGATGTCTCATTCTTGCTCGACGGAGCGAACATCTCTGAATGCTCTAGCTAGGTCTATATAAGTTGAGCAACCAGTTCATGAACTATTCAAATCCAGACCACCAAAAAACGAACCACTTTTCAATTTTGCTCCCTGCTAAACATACATAGGCGCAGATCGGCGACGGTGGGGGTGGCGCCTCATGATCACTGACTTCTTCAGTGTCGTTAACTTAGAGTGGCCTTTTATATTATGTGGTAATCCCGAGTACTATCGTTGTATTCGGCTAAACATTGTAGCAATGTTTCCAACAGTTTTCGTTCCAGGAGCGATACGCACGAACTGTCGTCGATTTAGAAACCGTAAATCGGCAAATTAACATCTATCTGAATGGAATACAGGAGTATAACACTCAACTTCTCCCACATCTGAGCGAGGTGAAGTTCTTAGTTCTTAATTTCTTAGAGCTTGGCACTGAAATGGAACTTTTTAGGTGAGTATAAGTGCTCGCCCAGAAGCACTGCGTCGAATGTGCGCTTCTCACGCCAATCAAATAGTGAAACATTGTAATCAGGGTTTGAACGTTACTAATCCTCAAGCGCTACGTCTCATCACAGCGTTAACCTCACTTTTACTTCAGGTGGGTGTGAAAAGGCTTTTCGTCTACAAATGTTATTTATTCACATACCTGTAGGCAGGGTACAGCAGTGATGTGTGAAATAGTGGTGTGTCGGTAAGATCCCCTCCCCCACCTAAAAGAGAGTCTCGGTACGACCCCCCCCACTTCCCCAACTTATTTCCACATTTTCCAGTTTTTCACCCAAGATCCAAAGATTTTCCGTCGAGCGGGGAGGGGGAAGGGGGGGAGGGGTATATAGTACACATGAAACAGGAAAAATCACGCGAAAAGTCAACAACCAGGAAAAATTTTTCCCAATGCGGCAAATTTCTCTAAAGTCACATACGACCCCTTCTCTCCCAGCAACGACCAAGTACGACCCCCTCCCAGCGGAAAAGTACCCCACCCCCCGAGCATATGCAATTTGAGCGGTTGGCAGCACAATGATTAAAGGCGCTGCTTTATGCTTTCGTTGTGGAGTTGTGGATATACTCTGTGTAATTCGCTTTAGATGTAGCGTTGAAGTGGACCCGCGACAACAGTTGGTAGAAAACGAGTGATACGAACGATTGATACAGCGTTGTCGCTTGTTCGCTTCAACAACTGGTGGAGAACGGGTTCGGCACCGCGCCAAACTCATCCGCCTGACACGCCCCTTCGTCTGCAGCGAACTAGACTTTACCACTGTTGCTGGGAGGATTGAAAGGACATTGATTCAACTTTTCTGCTGGCCTG